TCGGGAGGGATGGATTTGAATAATGATGCAGTATTGTCGGAGAAAAAAAGTAAGACGAGGTCCACCCAGTGGATAAATATATCTGCAAAAATCCCGGCTCTAGGGCTCTCGATCTACGAGACACCGGCGATCTTGGTGTTCGGGGAAGGGGGGTAGGTTTCTTCCTAAATTCACTTGCTTTTTGATATATGACCGATCGTTATTCTTAGGAACAAGCCGTATCTATTAACAGTCACTCAGATCCCTAGCCTATTAATCACCACACACACAGATATATATATATATACATGTAACATAAGTTATAGGCACGTCGAGGAAGGGATTCTACTAGCACATAAAAATGAAAAATGGCTAAATGCGGTGCATCCCGGCATGTTGGACGCATTGCTCTTGCAGTTGACCTTAGCACACCCGCCTCGGGAGACTTTACGGGTCCCGGGCGATTTCAAGGCTTGCGCCGGTGTCTATTCCTCTTGTAGAAATCGAATATTTTACTGTGCTGGTAGAGGAGAGTTATGCAGCTATACTTTTGTTACTATAAATAAAATGTACCGAATGACGCGTTCAAGTCGTGGAATTAATTAAATTCCCGGATATTTGTACCGAGTCTAGGTAAGTAGGTAGGCAGGTAGGTTTTTCACTCGTAAAGTCGCAGCACCCGAATTGGATTGCCGAGGATCTGGATTCTATCGATTGGAATATTTTATTTTTCCACCCATGTCGATGTTTAATTTAATTAATCGCCTCCCTAGGATTGATTGGGTTGCGTAATTTCCTGCAAGTTTGAATGCTAATTCGGCGAAGCCGGTCGTCGCCGGTTTGTACGTCCCGTGTCGGATGTTCAATATCGTCCGATTCTCGATAATTTGCCGTAAGATTCCGGGACTACTTCCCCCAATCTTTCCGAAGCCGACACCACCACAGGCTCAAGTTAACCGAGGTATGCTGTTGTTGGATTTTGAAGGATGGATTGAGGAGAGAAGGATCTCTTGTGAATGCTCCCGATGCACGAGGCAGAACGCTCAAGCGAGTCTGAAAAGGTATCGGGTTTAGGTGTTCCGCTCGAAGCACACGCTGGATTTTTTGATTTTTTTTTTGTTTTGTTCGTCGTTTAAGTCGTAAACCATTATTATGCTGTCCCCCCAAAACGCCGTGGGCCATAAGTTGAGAAAAAATGAAGGCCCATGATCAGATGCCCTGAGCATCGGTAGCACGTCGATAGGCTAGCTCTTTCGGTGCGTCTCATAGGCCTGGACCGCGGCCTCGAGCTCGGCTAGGCTCGATCGATCAGCATAGGCGTTCATCATGGCCTCGTTTCGTCGTCGCTTGGCCGCTTCGGCCTCAGCATTCTGATATTGTTGCTGCTCCTGATACTCTTTGTATTTGGCCATGCCGTAGCCTTTTGCACAATGTATTAGTCTAACTGTACGTCGATGACTTAGTCCGTAGGGCGACAGTACTAACCTATGCCTACCACGGCGGCAGTTGCGGTGGCACTATCACAAGAGACTCGTAAGCTTTTTCTGTTCGTGTGACGGAGATGTGGCAGATCGTCTCACAATCTTTTCTCCATCCGACCTGATTTGTACAGTGTCGGGAGATGGCCCGGATACACCTGAGACGTTGTCGAGAAGGGACGAGTTGTTGAGCTTGAGGGCATACTGTTTCCTTGGGCAGTGATGATACCGCCAATTGTACAAACTGTGTAAGTCACCGGTGTGGTGGGTTATTCGTTGTCACCCGAGCTTCAAGTTTCTTTGTCGTGAACGACAAAGAGGACGTAGGGTTATCAGTTTCGAGAGAAGATGATGAGATGATGTAGAGATGTATCAATCGGCTATTTCAAATCGATAATAGGTCAAGAGAGAGGATCAAGGTTTAGGGTTTGGGTGTGAAGGTGTTATACCTAAGCTAGATATAGAAATACTTCCGATGTGGTATACGTATATATGTGCATGTGCCCGCGTTTTCACAAATGAAATTTCCCGCGATTACTAGGATGCCTATATATACACTACACTACACTATGTATACATACATTCTCAAAAGCCAGTGCTCTTGTGCCCGGGTTAGGCAGGCTTGGTACAGTATCGTTCCGGCATAACGGAAGGGTTTGGGCATCGAATGGTACGAGGGCCAACGTGAACGAACATGGGTCGAGCTCTTACGATGCAACATGCGGGAGGTTAGCGCATATGCATGATGCGACGATGCGGGGGACTCCAGCCTGGCCTGATCGCGGAGTGCAGCGGAGTGCAGCACAGCCTGTCGAATCTCTAACCTACTTGAGCAGGTGCCTTATGTACCGTAGTAGTGTGGGTGCTGTGTAGACTACGTGTAAGTACGTGGAGATACATAGATGCTTGATGGACTGGAAGAGACTGGAGAAGCCAGTCAGGACCGCATCCGACGATGTGCCATTGATGTGCCATCGATATGCAGAGAAGCCGTTGGTATTGTGTTTTGAGGATAGGTACCGGTAGGCATTTCGTGTAGGATGCCAACTCACGCAGTCATCAAACAAGTGCAACAAGGTTAGAGCGTTGCGTTGCATTGCATTGTCGAACAACGCTCACCGAATTTAGTCAGAGAGCTACCTAGCACGACATTAGATCGGCATGGGGGTGGATATGGGATATGCATGGGGTAACGGGATAGGTAGGCGTCAAAACCGTTTCAACGAGTCTCACTCTCTTCCTCACCCTCGCCCTCACTATGCCCTCGCTCTCACTCTCACCCTCACTCCAGACATTGGACCGTGGGCAGTGCCTACCGTCGGGTTTGCTTGACTGCGGCATTTTGTTTACACTAGACCCGTCCCCGAGAGGGAGGTCCAGGCGGCATCGAAACGTCTCTAGCCAATTGACCTCAAAATTATTGAGAACGGCATTCAGCCTGAGTACGAGTGCATCGTCAACTGATAGCATGAGATAGCGGTTTCTGTACAGGATTGTAGGTGTGACTGGAGCACTACCCATAGTTGTGTCCTGACTCGTGAGGAGGAACTCGAGTACGCCAAGATACCCCAAGCAATGTTTACCGAGTCGATTGCACTTCAATGCACGCCGAGGCACAACTTTCGGAGTAGGTAAGCAACCACAGACGTCTAGAGCAACATCCTAAGTTTACCTGCCGCCACGGTTACTCTTTCACCTTCAGCCCTAACGCCCTGGTTGCAGACTCACTCGACCGCAATCCTCGACGCAGGTCTAACTCGTCGAGGCTATACGATCATGACACAGTCTGGTGCCATCGTTCGACAACCCCTCCCTCTCGTGTGTCGTTGGAGCTCGGGGATTTTTGCCGTTCGTAGCGAGACGTCCAGATGGCATCTGCTCGGCCTGGCATCAGCCAATCATGGCGACCTCTGTGCTATGCCAGGTTAGCCCGTCGACGAAGCTCGAGGAGTGGGGTCAATAGCCAGCGTGAGTCAACTCGGCTGGATTCCTAAGCGGGAGTGTTGCAGCTGGCTGTCGAGTGTGCTGCGGTCTGATGTAATTCCATGAATGAAGCACGATGAAGAAGGCAGCTTCTCGCGCCATAACCCACCAGCGAGGGTGCTGCGTCGTACGTGAAGATGCCGCTAGTCGAGGGGTAGTATGACTTAGACTGTGATTGTGACGCCACCACGCCCTGTGCAGAGATGGTCTCGCCGGACCCTGAGGGATGGGAACGGTCTGGATCGTTATTCCTAGCGCGACAGCCCGTGGTGGTGATAGCACCAGCGACTTTCACTTTTCTCCCTTGCCCGTTCGATCGTTACACTTCACCGCGATGCCGAAATTGTGGGTTGATGAGGATCAAGGAGAGGCGCACATCTGAACTGGGGAGATCGGAATGCGGCCACTAGAGAGTGGCAAGAGTAGTGTAGGTTCGCCCTAAAATCAGCACACATGAGGCCATTGTATACAGCATCGTGATTGAAAACAAGAGATACCTATAGTGTACTTGTATAGAAACCTGGCCTCGCTTTGATGGTGTGCGGAACGGCAGCCAGCGTGATGATAGGTACTGCCTCTATTTACATGTACCTACCGGTAGTATACATTGGATGTCTGGATACCTATGCGTATTATAATTACACACAAGCATGGGTCCCTCCTTCCCCTCCCCAGGCTCCACATCCGCTTGCTCAGCCCAATGTGCGAGGTATCTATCTACTAAGTACTTACTACTGGGTATGTAGTAGGAGTTACAACCAGACGGAAGCCATGTTCGGAATTCAATGCAAGCCCTTCCAGATTTGTGAGTATCGCCCTCAAACGTCCAATGAACATAAGTAACCTACCCTCCCTCCACCTTTACCCTCCTCAGGTGTAAAGCATACTCTACCTTAGCGACCCCTACCTCTCATACAACCTTCCTTTGACCATAGCCCCTCCAGTAACCAGACCTTGGCTACATCGCTCGTGAACAATGTCGCGACCAAAACCCAATGAAATCTCGGCCCGGGACTCTGATCTTGGTAGTGTAGTGCCTAACCGCTGTCTGGGACCTAGCCAGGTTACAAGGCAGGGCATGTTTCCTGAATTTTCTTGTCTATCTTGTGTTTCCCCACCCATCTGTCTATCTCCCTCCCTTCTTGAAACGGAATGCTTTGCTTCAAGAAGAAGAAGAAGAAGGAGAAGACTGGAGAGAAAAAAAAACCTGTTTATCATGCAGCTGGTTCCCCAGTCGACCTTAGGCTTAGGCGATGGGTTTCCACTTGAAATCACATTCTGCACTCACCGCTTGGCCAAACATGCCCGACTTTACATACTAGGTACCGCAGGGCAATAAAGTAGCAAATGTCACAAGCAATAGTGTAAACTTCACAATTCACGCAACCCTGGGGGGTGGATGAAAGTAGAGAGAATTAACAAGACTGCATATATTCGCTGTGTTGAGCAATGACGGAGATAACTGAAGCAGAGGGATATACCTATGCAGAGTAGGTACCTTTCGCACGAGCATTAACATGGTGACTTCCGAATTAGTTACTCAGATTCTATGAACATTTCGTCTTCGTGGCTCAGTTGGCTAGAGCGTTGGTCTCATATTAGTATGACCCAATTGTAACACATTGGGATATCCAAAGGTCGTGAGTTCGAGCCTCACCGAGGACACTTAACCTTTTTGGAGCGTTCTTCTCGTTTTTATCACAATTCTTGCCACCTTTTTTTTCTTCTTCTTTACCCCCTTCCTGTCTTGTCGGCGCTATAGTAGGAATAGATGGACGGGAACACTGTTGAACAGAGCATGAGATATCCCCAGCCTTGTTTTAATCAGACCTGTTAATATGTGTTAGGTTGGTAAAGAGTGTGTCAGTTACCAGAACCACTTGAGGCGTCGAGTTGGAGGAGTTACACTCCCTACATACCAAAAAGCGATAGAGTAAGTGAGCATTCCCTGATCATAGGCACGGCTTGATTTACCGCATCACGACCAAGCAATAAATATGTCAAAATGATTTGCATTGTCTAGATTACTCCGAGCTAGCCCAGCATCCCGCTTTTTTTTATTCTGGACCATGCTGTCAAGACTCAAGCTCCTAAAAGTTCAGCATACCTCTCTCGCACTTGGACATCGAGTCTTTTTCCTCTTCCCAACACCCCTCTCTCTACACTAGTCTGCGTCAATATTTGCTTAGTCAATTATTCGTTCTGCTGCCCGCAGTGCTCTGCATTGCATCTAAATTTGATATTCGGAGCTGAGAACTCGCGGTACTCAAGAACCCGCTCTGATCTTGTTTAAACCCTTTAGCGATCCAAGACTCAGGGCCAGGCCTTGTGACCTGCTTCTTATGCGAACAAAGCCTGTGATGGGTCCGTCCTCGCCTTCCTTTTCTATACTCAAGTTGGCTAGAGCATCCTCTCCTGTCATCATGTTAGCGTCTCCGTTGAAATTAATAATATCGTGAGGCACGTACCAAATACACTTCTGGCGTACAGGTTCGCGCTTAAGAACTGGCAATCGCCCTTCATGCTGGCCTCGGGTGTTAAACAGTTCATATTTGTGCGAGCCATAAGCATCTGCAAGAACTCGCGCAGAGATGTAGCTTTGCTGTTGATATTAACCTTGTTCTCCCATTCAAACTCGGTCCACATTGTTCGGAACTGCGTTTCCGTACACGTAGCCGGCTGAATATAATCCATAACGTCGACATGAAGATCGTTGAGAATGACAACATTAGTGTCGGTGCTATGAGCACCGTCATATACTACATTGCCGAAGATGACGCCAGTGTCGGTCGATGAGACCTTGATAGTACACTGCACATTGTGGAAATCATGCGGGGCTAAATTCTGGGTTGTTGGTCGCTCCACAACCTTGAGATCACCTAGAGTAGCAAATTCAACTGAGAGGTTCTGCAGAGTCTCTGTTGTCTGGTTTACCAAGAGGACATCCAAAACAATATCAAATTGATGTACTTTGACGTAGGCCTCGGCGTAAACGGGGTCAGAGAAACCAGTCAGTTGGACGACACGACTGAGTTTTGATGTAAGGTCCTCAGCCGTAGCCTCACCACCGGTCGCCCTTTCGAGATCTAATTCAATTTCGTCTGCACCTTCTCCGTGGTTCTTTTTTGAGAGCTGGCGAATTTGGACAACATCATCGACTTGAATTGCTGTCTTCGCCTTCTCGAAGGCCTCTTTTGCCGCTCGCTTCTTCTCCTCAACCTGGACCATAGCCCGGAAGGCCTTTCGGGTATCGTCCAGGAAGACGGATTCGAGCTGTTTATTCTCGGAGAACTCGGCTAATGACCGAACACAGGACATAATTCTATCGACGGAATCCTCATCAATGGGAGCTTTGACGAATTGAGATTGCCCGACACGGATGATGGAGATCATGATCAGCATAGCTTCAGCTTTGAGGGCATTCGTCCGTGCCTTATCCGAAGAAATCTCAGAGTGGCGCATAACCAGCTTGGTTAGTGTAGCAGAGAGGACGGTTGCCAAGTAGTAATCTCCATTAAGGATCAATTGCCGCAATGGGGGCTTTTGCGCCGCCTTGACAGCCTCCAATCTTGCAGCAGTCGCGGACGCGCTCGTCAGGGCCGTCTCGGTGGCGTATGTGCCGTCCGCTAGAACTCGCCGTGAGCCGGAAGGCTGCGCGGGTTTAGAGTGACCATTCACCTGCTCCTGTTCTTGTTCATTTTGGCCATCGACATTATCTAGTAGACGCTGCTCAGACGCTAGAATCGGTATCTCACCCAGACCTGCGCGTAATTTTTTCCACGCATCCCGAATGTCATTTTCTTCAAGCGAGTACTCGCCAACAATCCAGACGATCCCGCGGTAGACCTTACCTGCCCGGACCTCGCTGAGTGTATCGACCAGCCGTGCGACGATTGAGGGTCGCAATTTGGGAAACTTTTCGACGACCTCCTTTACGAAGCTGATAACATCAACAGCGGATGTATTGCTGAAGTCTGCAATGAAATCCATTAGAAGATCAACAACGCTTGCCGCAACCTCGGAGAATTTGATGGCGCATTGGTGGATAGATTGAATCAGCAGTTGTCGGTACTCGGCGTTCTTCTCATATTCTTGATCAACAGTCTTGGAGAGTTCTTTTTTCAGTAGCAAAATGACTTCCTCAACATTCTTGCTCGACACCATTTCCAAGGCGATTCCAAGAGCCTTCCGTCGCACGTCGATATCGGGGCTCGAGAGAACACGGAGAATTTCCATAATGAGGTCGTCGAGGACTCCCTCGTTTCGTTGGCGGAGTTGATCTACGCGATCAAGTACGATAAGCTTCACATTGTTGTCTGCCTCTTTGATGCTGAGCTCGATGAACTTGGCAGCAGCAGCCTTGACGGCCACGGGGTTGCTAGTGAGGATTGTCAAGGATGAGGCAGCCTCGTATACGACGGTCGAAGTGTTAGCTTCTAACAGGTCAAAAATGAGCCTCAAATACCGAGCCTTCTCATGTCAGCTGGATACTAAACTTGTTTTGTGGTTTGTTGGCCTACTTTGTTCTGCTGGTTCTGAATAGCGTCTTTGCGGATGAACTCGAGCTCGACTAATTGTAACAATTCCTCTGCATTAGGGATGCCCTCAAATACATTGCTTAGATAAGCGAGGGCCTTGTCATGATCGATACTTGATAGAGCAGCGAAAGCATTACGCTTGCAAGTTGCATCACTCTCGCCATCAAGGAAAGTGGCGATCAGATCCGAAGCGTCTGGGATAAGGGACGGCGAATGTTGGTGAATCGAGGCAACGGCAAAGACGGCATTCTTTCGCACGTAGGCATGTCGATGCTCGAGACAGGATCGCGCAGACGATAAAAGAGGCTCGATCAGCTCGGGCTCTCGCAGTTTACAGAGGAAGCGTAACGTGTTTCCTCGGATGTACTCGTTGGGGTGCTGAAGATCATTCCGAATACCATTGCTACACAATCGCTAGTCAGCGGCGGCCAGGCATGTGTGCTCGCCTGGAATGGTCATGCTCACCAGACAAGGATCATTTCTTGCTTCAGCTTTCCACTGGCGTCGAGCTTGGGGCAGATCTCGTAGTAAAAGTACAGCAGCTTCTTCAGGTGCTTCGATTTCGAGGGCATGACGAATCGAATAATGTGCATGAGGAGCTGAGGCATGGGATCGCCGTTTAACATGACGGTCAAGATGCGCTTCATGGTGTCGACCTTGGCCTCGTCTGTGCCCTTCTCCAGCTGCGTGCGCAGCTCCGACATAGAGGGGACATCGGCAGCATTGTCCTGATGGACTAAGCTGTATGCGTTCTCGAGGAATGTGGTCATGGTGGGCAGCTGCTGCGGCTCTCGACCGCCTCGTCAGTATCGGTATCGGGGCTGTCCGAAACAAATGGGGCGCGAGGAGAGTCGACTATAACGGCCAAGAGGAATTGAGGTCGATATTCCCCCCTCAACACAACGCAGGCGGAAGGGAAGCGGTATGCAGAGACAGGGTTGGGCTGGGCTGGGAGCAAAGAGGGACGGCGTCAATAGACAAGAGGTAGTCGGTCAGTCAGGTATAATGCGACTATGCATCCCAGGGGTCGCTCGACTGTGGGTGGTCCCGGTGGTGGTGCGAGTAGTAGGAATAGCGGTGGTTGCAGCAGTTGCAGGTATTCAATCGTGGGTTGACCCTCAATTCATGACCAGGCTGTCCCGATAGACATAGCCAGCATGCACATACATAAAGATTCCACACAGAAATCTGTCCCTCCTGAACTGCAAGTGGGGCCACTTTCCAGGCTAGGTGCCTTCACCTGCTAATGGATCCGAGTCAAGTGTGGGCCGGTGCAGTGGCTCAAGCTACCTTGTACTAGGTTACCTAATCAAATTCGGTGACAGCGGTTCTCCTCCGATGGTTGTTCCTTCTCCGACTAGGTTAGCGAGCCAATCATCTCCGTGGATGGATATGGTAGTTGAACCACAGGCCCATACACGTAAGGCTGATCAAATCGGAAGTGTGGCTTGCTTGCACCCCCCAACCTGTAGAGCTGATAATAGAGAGACATACCTGTTCTGCCCCGCCAACTGTACCTACCCCGGCTGGTTGGCCTATAGGTACCATGGAGCTCGCAGATCTGAATCTGAAATGCAGGAGCCTTGCTTCCATTCATGAGCATTTCAATCTCATTTAATCTCAACTCCCGCCCAAATACAATAGCAACGGCATTGCAAACTCGACGTGTCTGCAATCGTCACGTCAATTCGCGAAGAATCACCACCACCTCCCCACCCAACATGACTTCATCCAGTGAGCCCTTCTACATACGCTACTAGTATGTTCAGTCTCCCACCCAACAACCCCGGTCTGCAACACCACTAACATATCGGAACACTACAGCTCCGGACATTCAGGTCGTTTTGGCCACGAATTCCTCGGTACGCATTTTACCCATCCGTAGTGCGTGGCGGCAGGCAGAAGCACTAGCAACATGCATGGGGGCGACAAACTAACTTGATTGAATACGCAGAGTTCGACTTCCGAGTAGTGGGCGACGGACGAAGCGCAGTGGCCCGATATGCCAACAATTCGAACTACCGAAACGACAGCCTCATCCGCAAAGAGAGTGCGTGCCCCCGATACCCTTCGTCACAACATCTTCCGACCTCGTGATACTGCCTCTGGCTCGCCCACCCGTACTTC